AGCAAGCAAAAGCGTACCGTACTCCAGTCGGCTCCGCTGCATCTTTATGCAAAAATCAGCCCAATTTTCGCCATGGTTTCCTGCCACAGATGATGCCTTCCACGTTTTCCACTCAAGAATCAACTTGGGATTCTTTCGCAAGCATGAAACATGTTCCGTTGAGACATTAAGTTTCGAAGAAGATTTGATGACAGAGCACGGCTTGGCAGTAGCGAACGCTTCTCTTGTGCAGTGGCCTCTGTCTCTATCGAAAAGCAGGGCGGTTCTTGCAGCTCTTTTCAGCTCCATGTCATGTCATATCATCCCTGAAGAAATGCTTTAGCAAGAATTTAGTCCAGACCTCGCATGATTGCTTAGTTTAAGAGTTTCTGCGACGATCCGACCTTTTCAAAGTCCGACTGCTTTTGTTATTATACTGTTCCTCTAAGATGTAGCGCAATAAAAAGTTTCGTGAAACAGAAGTGAAAAATAATAGAAAAACATGAGGTGGAGTATAATTTTGGGACGTCGGCTGAGTGGCCTTTTACACAAAAATTATTAGAAAAAATTCCTGTGATCTCAAGTTGGAAGTTGATGTTCATAGGCAATTTCGTATTTATATTTGACACATTGTCACATTGAGACTTTTTCAAAACATCTGAATTTGTGAGATTTTGGGAAATTCTTAGGTGGAGTTATAATTATGAGACAGTGTATTAACACGTTGGAAACCGCACATATTTCACGTTTTGTAGTCGCTTGGCACTTCAGTGAAATTTCGAGGAATCTTATCAAGCATTGTTTCTCAAATGTGAGCCGAAGTCCTAAGCGGTTGACGGACTGCAGCCCAAATATGGGCTGCATGGGCTCCAAGGTGTTGAAGAACCTTTACTGCATTCGCTGTGGAGGCACTAAAATGAGTTGAAGCGAGTTGGTCGTCCGAAATTTGCTCGCGAAACTAGCGGTTAGAGAACCGCGCTGCGTCAAGTCATATTTCCACATACTTTTCACACATTCAGCCGGTATCAACATCAGATCACTACCTCCTTCTTCTGCCACTTTATCCTCTTTACATTACCGTAGTCAGATAGACATAGATATATTGTAATGAATAAAAGTACAGATCATGTTACTTTATAAATTACTGCATGCCTCCTGTTACAGGGCAGTTGTCTAGTATATGATAAAATACTCACCTCCAACACAGTACCATAAAACCGTCAACCACACAACCCAGTCAAATCCATACAGTAAACCGTATTCCATGACCACTTTTCCATCCTGAAATCAGGAACACATTCAGTTGTTTTCGCAAACTTCATTTCTATGGCGACGCCAACTGTCCCAACCATCCAACAATTGTTTCAGACGGTTGCCACACCCATCAAGTGTGGAGAAATACGACATTATCAGGGAATCTCTCCGCCTAGACGACCGACAACGCGATGTACTTTTGAGGGTTCTCAGTAACTTATTTTGTTCACTTCATCACTGGCGGACCAAATACTACTATTATTCAAAGAAAAGAAGAAATTATTCAAAGAGCCAAGTGTTCCAGAGCAATTCATCGATAATGATGATCCGGCAGTGCAACAAAAAAGCGCAACTGCAGATATTTGAAAAGAGCAGTTGATTCAACCATAGTGTTCGTGGCGTTCAATGAGAGATGAACCCAGGGCAAAAATCGGTCGACGATTGATCGACGACACGTCGAGGAATTTCTGACTATTCAGTCACACTCTCCCGCGTAGATATTCACTTGCCACGCGCGAGCCGTTTGTGTCCGCGCGTACATTCACTCTTGACACTATTCCCACCAGTACAGAGACATGGTCGGGGATTTCCTCGACCGTTATTCACCCAGGTTGGAACGGTATCCACAGCAAATGCATGGCGTTCGATTCAAAGTGGAGAAGTGACGATAAAATGGCAACTACTTATGTTCAGGTGCTATTGGCCTAAGGATTAGCTCGCCCCGTGATGCTTTCGGTACCAATTGTTCAACTCTCCGCGCGTCTTCGAATACTAACGATAAATA